GGGTTGCGAAGCCACCCGCAGCCTCTGCAGCACCAGTTCGATCCCCGGCCGCCTAGTGAGGATCCCACTTGGCACGCAGACCTCCCCTGCTGCCCGCTGCTCCCCTCAGCAGTGTATTTCGTCAGTCTGTCTGTTCTGTTCCCCACTCTAGTCTGGTGAATTCTCTCGCCCTCTCACGCTTCTGACTGTACCTAGTGCTTGTATAAATAAATAAATCTTTAAAAAAAAAATGGTGACACCAAAAATTAGAAAAAAAAAAAAAAAAACCAAAAACTTACCAAAGAACCTGTAGACAAAAACTGATATAGTACAAAAGCTTGAAAGCACAGAGCTACAAATGAGGTAGTGACATTCATGAGGTGTATAATTTGCACACTTTAATTATTGTCATAAAACACAAATCCTTCTTTTAGATTTAAAATGCTGTTTTAGAGTTAAAAGAGTAAATGTAATAAAATTATACTCTGCCACAGTGACTTGAAAAATAACATTCTTAGAACTCAATATGACTTTCCATCATTTTTAAGTGCTGTTTTGTTCTTTAAAATTATATATATATATATATACACACACACATATGTATATATTTCCTCCAGTGTTAGTAATAACGACAAATTAATTTATACAAATTATTCTTGGTAATAATTTCAGAACCCAAAAAACACTTGAAATTCTTAGCAAAGACTAAAGCCAAGTGGCATGATCCTCCACCACATAGATTAGAGATAGAACATTCTGTACAGTTGTTCCCAGTGTTGCCTTGCAGATCCTTAGCCCCATTCATCTTCATTACCAAGTAGATTCAGACTACCTGTACTGTGGCCTCATGTCTCCTCCTTTCTAACTCCAAACCTCAGCTTTGCCACACCTTCCTTTCCTAAATCATAATTTGTTTTATTGTCACCCATCCTCTTTTCCCCGCCTCTCGAGGGGTGAGGTGCTCCACTATTTCTCCATCCATCCTATTCCACTCTTCATCCCTTCTTTTGGAGCATCTTCAATCTCTCCCTTAGTACTGTTCTCTCTACGTAAAATCATGTCCATTTCCTCCATCATCTCTCTACTTTTTAAAAGGACTTTCATTTACCCTGTGACTCCTCCCAGTTGCCATCCTAATCCTTCCACCTATGTTATAACCATTTTCTCACCTTGTACCCCCCATTTCCTCATCATTAAACTAGCTCTTTACCTTGTGCAATTTGATTTCTGTCATGAAAACTCCTCTACTCAGTGTCCTTTTCATTCACTAATTTAACAAATATAGATTTAGACTACTTACCATGAGTGAGGAGGCACTATACTGGGGAACTGAATGTAAATATTAATAAAAACTCAACTCCTACTATCAAGAATAAATCTAACAAAAATGAACATCTCTACTTAGTCATTCTTGATTTCTCTGCAAAAGTAATTGAAACTGTCAACTACCACATTTTTTTTAAACAAAAGATTTATTTTATGTATTTATGCATACAAGTGCAGGGGTGTAGGCCAGAGGTGCAGGGGGTGAGAGGATTCACCAGAGACAGAGAGGGAAGCAGAACGGATGGACTAACTAAAATGCACTGCTGAGGGGAACAGCGGGACGAGACAGGAGAGGTCTGCTGCATCATCGGGGTTAGCTCCCTGGCCGGGGATCGAACTCATGCTGAGGAGAGCTTCATAGTGCTGAGATTTAAACCCTTGTGCCACCAGGGAGGCTCCTCAACTATCACTTCTAAGATTACCTTCTCCCTTGCATTTTGTGGAGGTATTCTGGTGCTTCCCTAGCCCTACCTCTGGTAGTTTTGCTTCTCAGACTCCATTAATGTGAGTTTTCTTCAAGGTTCGAGCTTGAGGTCCATTTCTCTTTCCTCTGAGGCCTGCTTTCTCTTTTCTCTCCCAAGGAATTTTCTTCCTTCTTTCAGTTTCATTCTCACTTATCTACAGCTTTCTTCTTAATTGCCTTCTGTACAATTCATTTACCACCCTTAGATTCCATTGTATATTTAAAATATATGGGGCCTCCCTGGTGGCGCAAGGGGTTAAGCACCGCACTACGACGAAGCAATCTGCACTTTCTGCAGCACAAGTTCGATCCCCGGCCAGCCAGGGAGCAACCCACATGGCACAGCAGACCTCTCCTGACTCGCCCACTGCTCCCCTCAGCAGTGTACTTCAGTCCATTTGCCTGTTCTGTTCCCCCCTCTGTCTCTGGTAAATCCTCTCACCTGCATCTCTGGCCTGTACCCCAGCTCTTGTATGCATAAATAAATAAAAAAATATTTTAAAAAAATTTATTGCTGGATAGTATCACAGAGTATTTTACCAGCACATGAAATTCAGTTTGCCATAAACAGACCCAACTTCCTTCTTAACAAATCATGAACTCTTCCTCCAGACTTCCATCTATCTGTTAACAAAAATCTTTAAAAATTATGAGAAAATTATAATAGAAAAGATGTATTAAGTACTATGTGCCAAACACTATTATAAAATTATTTATGATTTAACCTACCTCATAATAACCTTCCAGAATAGGCACTGTTACCAAATTTTTTACCAGAAGAAAAATGAGATGCTAAAGATGAAATAAGTGAAGGAGGCAGACTCCAAATCCAAACACAATAGACTAAACTACTAAGGACCTACAGTAGTCCAAGTAGGAATTTGAATTTTCTTTTAAAAATTAATGCTCTGTAATAATTCATTTTCAAACAATCCATTCTGCTGAATGCCAAGGACATCATGACCCAGCAGCTGGGTTTATAAGAAGTTGACTAGGGAAAAGAAGGTTATGATACTATTTTCCTTTTTTAATGGGTACTACTGAGACATTTAAATATCTCTGTAATTGCACAAGATAATTGCCTCTGAGTTCATCCATTCATTCATTTGTTTACTACACATTTGTTAAGTAGCTCCAATAAGCCTAAATAGAAGTAGAATTTGAGGTCAATCTGCAATTTGCCATGAAAACACAGAGAAACAAACAATTGAGGGGGTGGGGGACTCTTATGAACAGGGTGCTTTTGAATTTTCATGACCAATAAATACTTTGGCATGGTAACTCGGTGATTCTGCATGTACCCTTTGATCATAAGGGCATTAAATTCTCCCTTTTTGTGTCAATACAAGTAGTGACACATAAGCCTAACAAGAAATGTCTTCACATTAGTCCTTTTCAAAGAGGGAGGAGAAGAAATACATTGAGATTATCCAATCTATGTATATCCCACACCCATTCTATCCTCACAAGAGCCCCAAGGGCACAGATCAGGAAATACAAACATAACTTGACTCAATTCAAGCTGTACAATAATGACAATAATTCATATTTACATTGACACTCCAAACTTCAAAGCATGCTCACAAAGAGACATCATGTCTTTTTATATAAAAGGAAACACAAAGTTTGCCTTCAGCAAAATAATATATTCCATCTTTTAGGCATCTGTCCAGCACCGCCCCTCCACCAAGTTAAACACTCAAACTGTACCCCATATCCTTCTGTTATGTCCTTTGCATTCTACATAGTCTCTGGATTTTTTTTTTCCTATAGCCAATCACAGAACTTAGAAGAGCAGATGTTAAAGAGAGTACCTCCTTCAGTAATTCATTCATTCAACAAATGTTTATCAAATGCCTACTATGTGCCAGGTATTACTGCAAGATTTTGGGAATAAAATTGTTTGCAGAAACATACAGTGTCTTCCATAATGGGGGCTTACACCACCGCCAACACCAAACACTACCAGTTGGTCAGGAGATAGGTATCCTGACCCTGTTTTTTGGTTCTCATGCCACATGTATCCTTTGAAAATCTAGTTTTTGTTTGTTCTTGCTCAGACTTGGAGACACAGTTCTTTAGTTAGTTATCAGAGCATGGTTCACCAATAACTCCACTTTTACACTATATCCAGTCTTTGGTACCCAGTATTCTCTTTGTAATATTCGTAGAATTTGACAATCTGCCTTTACTATTTTGACTTCAGCAGTAAGAAATCAACTGCTCGGCAAGCCTTTTATAGAAACTAATATAAGCCCTTCACTTCCTTTGAATTGCTGCCCATACATCTCTCTTTTATTCTATTATCTTCTCATTCATATTGGTTCACTTTATTTTTCCATTCCTCTTGCTTCACCCTCTTTGTACTCTAACCTGCACATTTAAAAACCCTGGTAATCTACCCTGGTAATCTCCCCAATTTATGATAAGGCCTGAAAAGGCATAGCATATTTCTTAATGGACTGTGCATAGTTTCCAGGCTATCTGGACCACAAGACTGACATAACTATCATGGAATTCAGCTTGCCCAACCATAGAAACCTGCTTTGGTTAAGTCATCACCATCTTTCAAAGCCAACTGATTTTCTCTGGAATGAGGGAATCTTCTTCAGTAGTCGGTCTTCTTAAAAGTATGTGGGTCACATAATCTTCATGGTCACCCTCGTTGTTGGGCAGCTATCCAAGCTTCTGCTTTGGCAGAGGCAAGACTTTGGGTTCTGGTGTTCTCTATGGGGTTTTGAAAACCTCCCAAGTTTCATATTGCTTTTTTGGAAAGCTGGACCATAGCCCTCAAACATGGAAGCAATTTAATGTAGTGGGATGTACACCCATTGAATGTTAGAAAGTCTGTGTTCTTATTGCTGTGGCACTGATGGACACAACGAGTTTGGATGAGTAATTTATGGCAGGCTTCTGAAAACCAACATGCAGAATATAGAGTGCATTTTAGGTCATGCTGTGGTTGTTTCCAGCTTATGATGCCCCCATATCTATCTCTGTAGCCTCTGTAACCAATAAGATATATTTCTGTGGCTATTTTATTTCTATTCAAAAACCCACATAATGTTTATGATTTCCACTGTAGTTGAGCTACATAAAAACAAACACATAAACAAAACCAAACATCCAGGATAGACCCTGGCTGCAGGTGCTTCTATTTTCCATTCTGACATGACTGAATTCCAGAATGGCAGAGTTCACAGTGGTCAGTGTCATGGAAACCGCAGCCTGGGAGTATCACAAGAATCGGTCAGAAACGGAAACACTGGTTGCTGGTCAAGAGAAATCGACGGAGAGGCCTCTGTCTAAAAGAAGATGAGTTTCTTCTTTTAATTGAGCTGCTCCAGTAGCAGGAACCAAACTACAAATTCCTTAGACATTTAAATGATGTTCATATTTTAATGCTTGAATATCAGCTCTGTAAATACCTAAAATGGGGCTAAGTGACAATTGGATAACATTGGCCTGACATTGTCACTGGCCTTTCTCTACTGTCAAAGATGGATTTGCATAATTATGCTGAAAGCTCGGAAACTGCACCCAGCAGGAGGTTTCCTGGCTGGTGTTAGGTTTTAGTCATGCTCCAGCTGTGAATCTCCAGATGAAGAAAATCTCCTTTCAGAAGTGAACAGACAGTGAGAGTACACACTTTCTAAGACAGTATAGAAACAGCTTAACAATAATTTAACTTACATAGTGATTTCCAAGGTATAATTAAGATAGGCCTGATAAGCAACTGATTGACTGAACAACCTTTTGCTTGGTATCAAAAGAGCTTCAGAGACGAGAGAGTTCAAGCAATGTTACCTCATAAAACTCTTCTTGATTAAAATTCTTTTAAGCTGGCCAGATGCCTGATAGAAGCAAACTTCTAAAGACTGCCACTCTAACAGGTGGGTGTCTATTGTGCAATTCTATCTTTCCAAGGTCAGTACCATCATAAAAAGTCTCTTTTGAATGTATCTACAAAGGAAAAATGCTGAAGTAAGGGAGGTCTCTTTAGTTTCCTGCGTTTACCCCTACCGTGGGGCACTGAATAACCTCAGGCTATTTCCCAAATGTCTTTTTGTGATCACTTCTCTTAAGACTGTCAGAAGATCATCTTTATTTTTCTCCTACTTTCAGCTGCAAATAGCAGGTCTGTCTTGCTACAATTCTAAAAAACACACAACAAGCATTAATAAGAGAAATTATACAAAGACTGAAATTCTTAAGGTCCTAGAATGCAGTTCCCACTAAAAGGGAATGTTCAGCCTGAATTACACAAGTGGACAGACACATTTCTGAGGGCAGCAGCCCCCCCTTGGGCCTGGAAAAATCATAGCATTTCCCTCAACTGTCCAAAGGAATATTTTCATGCAGACCTAACCTTACATTGCACGTTTAGATTTCATGGGTGGCAAAGCCTTAAATGCTTTTCATATACTACAACGTATTCTCTCTGTTTTTCATTCTCCCTTTGTTGAAAAGATATTCTGGTCTACCTCTGTACTTCATCGTAAAATTGACAAACCTCTAGGGTGATTGTATGGGGAAAGCAAAGATGAAAAATTAACCTCTTTTCACTCACTGGCACTAACTTACTATGCTCTAAATGGGATTGCTTCTTTGTTTGGGTTTCCTGCTTCTATGGCACTACTAAGCAGAATCTGTATGTGCAGCTCTGACAACAAATGCCAATTAACAATCATGTCATCCTGTCCTGTTTGGAAAGAACTTTTACTAGACTTCAAATGCCACAGAGCATACCTTCCAGCTTTTTCTGGTTTGAACTGGAGGTTGCAGCTGGTACAATTTGCTAACCAGCAATTCACCTTGAAACAACCTCATAAACACAGAGTAGCCAGATAAATCGATTCAGAATTTCTGTTTATTTTTTTAAGGGCAACAGGGCAGATGTCTGACTTCTCTAAGGCAAAAAGGCAGCAGCAGAAACAAAAGCCACATCCATTTTTTAATACATGATGATGATGATGATTATGATGATGATTATCATCCACACATAGCACTTGCATCACACTTTACAATTTACAAAGCTCTTTTACAACCATTATCTCTTTTGATACTCGCACCAACCTTGTGGAACAGGTGTTCATTAATATGGGTATTTGACAGATAAAGAAATTCAGGCACAAAAAAGGTTAAGTGACTTACCCAAGGTTGCACTCTGAGTTGGTATGCATGAGAATCAGTTGCCTTTTGTGCTAGAGAAATAAGGAATAGAGGTGTCTGAAGAACTCATAATTCTGTCCCCTATGAGTCCTGATTAAGAAGAAAATCTCACAGCAGTGTGGGGCATGTTCATCTTTATTTCAACTAGTGTTTTCAGCATGTTAAACATTGTGCAGAAGCAGCAGACATGCAGGTTGCTCAGTGAAATTGGCATGATGCAGATGTGATAGGTAGTGTTCAATAATGAGCTAATGTTCAGCACCGAGTGCCAAATAATCAATGTGCATTGTGACCTAAGCACCACAAAACACTCTGAGTTAGCTGTGAATTTGTTCGGATTTCATGATTGTTGATTGCCTGACAAACTTAGTAAATTAAAATCTATCCCTCAAGCAAGTTAAGGAGTAATTTTGTTATGGCCTGATTTTATTAACCGGCAGCCAGCCCACCTAATGAATGTTAAAGATTAGTCTGTTGTTGACTATGCAGTGTGAGAGATATATATCCAAGCTGAGATATTCTGCAAGATTAATTGGGAATTATTTCCAAGATCCAAAATAGCCATCTTCCTTAATCCCTCTGGAGTCTGACAACAAATGCCAATTAACAAGAACACAGAGATACATTTGGTCCCCTAAATGGAAATTCTAGCATATTCTACTAAGACAGGCTTTCAAAAATAAGACATGGGAAGTTTTGGAGCACTTGAAGCAAACTGCCTTCCTTAGAGATGTTTTAAAGGTAACCTGATAGTCTGTATTTTAAAAGCCATTTCTACAGGGGAAAATGAGATTTATTCACCAAATTTTATTGTTGAAAAATAGCTACTAAACCTGCTTGCTGAAATGTGTTTATGTGAAAAGCTGCACTTTGAAGAAGGTAATTACTACTTTTATATGTTTCCATTGCCACTGCTCAATTCTCATTTTTATAGTTTAAAAAGAAAAACAAGTTTAAATAATGCAATGCTTATTAGCGTATGAATATGAAGCTAATTGTCCCTTTTTGACTTTCAGAAGTAATTGGCAATGTCTTCTGTGTAAGTGGGTTAAGGAATGTGCCTTGCATGTAATTATTACTAAAAACTTTCATTTGGAAAATTGCAACCTTATCTTCATTGTCTTTTAGAAGCACAATAGCTACCTGTCATTCTGCACGTTCCTTAGCAGATCTGTTATAAGAATATGTGTAGAGCAGTAAAAACAAGTATACCCAGTGCATTGAATTATAGCAGAGTCAATCAGTGCCCTGTAGCACTCTTAATACTGCACTTACTCAGGTTGCATCGAACAAAGCCAAAAAGATAGTTGAAAAATAAAAGCAAAATGGTTATTTGGCATCAAGCAGAACCTGAGATAACCCCCAGGTTTTTGTTTTTTTTTTTAATTGAACTCAGTTTCTTTTTGAACTGGACAAACTGACTCAGGAAGTGGCATAGTCTGAATGTTCTAGAAGTTTCTAAGAAATCATTTCAGTGACCTTTTCTAAGATTCAACAAAAAAATGTTTCCACTTAACACCTCAAGTTTCTCTTTCTTAAGAGCTTAAAAGAAAATGTTGCATTTCAAAACATGTGCTAGAGACTGATTAGATTTTAGTTAAATTTGCTTGATGATCATAAACACTCATTTAAAAAAAAAAAATTGTTCTTTGCTACATATGATTGCTCAACCTGTGAAAGTGAAAAATTCTCTCAAATAACCAGATTTCTTTTTTGGCTGCATATTGTCAAGTACTAGTTTGGCTAATTGTGTGTGTTTGGTTGGCTGGATTTTTATCAGAGTAACTAATTAAAATGTAATTTCATAGACCCCCATATATATGAATTTCAAAATATTGTTGCTATGCACACTTTATAGCCTATGCAGCCAGTTTTCATTATATTTGTTTTATGTTATACTGACATCTATGGACTCCATAAGAGAAATTCAGTTTTTCAGAAAAATTCTATTAACTGCTTATGAGCAACTTAGAATGTGACTCAACTATGTAAACTAAGAGTCCCCAAATCTGCATTTGAGTCACTAGTTGATCATTGAGCCTTGTCACTTATATCAAAATCATTACAAATCTCTTCTACATACCTATAATAAAAACTTAAATTAAAGACAGAGTCTCCATTAGTGAAGAATCAGTATTTCCTCTTCAAGGAAGTGATGTCCTTATCCGTATTAGTGAGACAATAAGGGGGATCCTGATAATAGATAAACATTCATTTAGTGTAATCTTATACTAATAGCCATTATTGTAATTACTGTGTGCTGAGTACTAAATTAACATTAGGGATTCAAGGAAGAATAAGTAGACATTGTCCTGACCCTCAGGGAACTCACAGTCTGAATGAAGGAGACAAATAAAACCAACAATTTACTACAGAGTATAACAAGTACAGTGATAAGATAGAATGGTCAGGATACACTAAATGCTATAACAAACCTAAAGATATCAGTGGCTTCCCTTGGGGCCCCGTGTGCAATGGTTGCAAACAGCAGCCTCCTTGGTAATGTATGTGGCCTATTGCTTTTATGGGTTGTTCTACAGGACTTGGAGACAATACTTTTGGGGAGTCCTTCATGCCTGACTTCATATTGTCCACAATGTTAGACTCCAGACAGGTATGCTGGGTTCCTTTGGGAAGCCCCTGGGCACAGTGGCCAAGTCACCATGCCCTTCCGCACTAAGCTACAGAACAAGGAGCATGTCATTGAAGCTCTAGGTAGGGCCACGTTCAAGTTCCCTGGTCATGGGAAAATATATATTTCCAAGAAATAAGGTTTTTCCAAGTTTAACGCAGATGAATTTGAAGACATGTTAGCTGAAAAGCGCCTCATTCCAGATGGCTGCAGGGTCAAGTACATCCCGAATCGCAGCTCCCTGGTCAAATGACAGGTCCTGTACTCCTAGGAGCAAAAGAGCTGGCCCCCTATTAGTCACACGAATAAAATCCACATTCTTATCAAAAAAAAAAAATACATATCAGTGGCTTAACTATGTAAAGGTTTTTTTTGCTCATTCAAAGCAAAGTCCAGTCTGGTCAGCCAGAGGCAGAGGAGGCCTCTACTCCAGCCACTGCACTCATTCAGGGACCCAGACTCCCTTAACCTTACAATACCACCATCTTCAAACTAAGATCATCATGGGGAGCCATAAACCCTAATGGGGAAAGCACATAAACCCTTATCTTCCTCTGCAGAGAAAAAACACATCAATTCACACCATATAAAAAGAGAACCACTCAGATGGCCCCATTTAGACAGAGGAGGACAAGGAAAGGTAGTTCAGCTGTGTCCCAAAGAAGAGGAAAGAAAGGTGGTGAACAACAGTTGATAAGTAAGATTCAACTAGTGACAACTAGGTAACTTGTTAGTTAGGATTATTAGAGACAAAAAAATGTCCTCTCATACCTAACTTATTTCTTGTTGATATAATGGATGAGAACTATAGAAAAGCAGCAAAAATGGAGGAACAAGTTAACTAATAACTAACTAATTAGTAACTGTAATAAGTGAAGCCAGGAGACTCAGAATGATACTTTCTTTACAATTCTAAATTCTAACTTCTTGTTTGAATAACAACTGATAACTAGATTTAATGAGTGTTAATGATAAAACTAACTAGAAATAACTAGAACAACTAGATTAACTAAGAAACTAAAAATCTCATTCCTCTCAAGTCTAACTTATTTCTTGTCAAAATAGTGTGAAAACTACAGAAAAGTAGAAGCAAATGGAGAAATTATATATATATATATTCTTTGAATATTTATTTATTTATACAAGAACTGAGGTACAGGGCAGATGTGCGGGAGGGTGAGAGGCTTCACCAGAGACAGAGCAGGGAACAGAACAGGCAGACTGACGAAATACACTGCTGAGGGGAGCAGCAGGCGAGACAGGAGAGGTCTGCTTCACCATGTGGGACCCTCGCCGGCTGGCTGGGAATGAACTGGCGCTGCCGAGGCTGCGGACAGCTTCACAGCACGGTGCTCAACCACCTGCGCCACCAGGGGAGGCTCAAGAAATTATGTTTTTAATAACAAGCAAGTAACTAGATACTAGAGATAGTTAGACTAACTGGAGTAACTCAAAAGCATTGGAAACACAAATTCCATTTAATTCTAATGTCTCATTTCTTATTTGAGTAATTATGATTACTAGATATAACTAATGGAAAGTAGATATACACTAGAGATACCTAGAACAACTAGAGAACACCAAAAAACAGCAACGTAAGGTCCATTCAACTTTAACTTCTTACTCTCATTTTCAGAGTATTGTCCACCCCTGTATTTCTTATTATGATATGTCCTCTACTAAGATGCCCCAATTGTTTCATTGTCGCAGTATATCATTCCCATTGGCTTCTACTTCACACTACCCTGAAACTGAAGACCAATTTCTTGACTGGATGGCTACTTCCAAAATGCTTACCCCATTTCCAGTCTTCAGTGGTATCCCATATTCCTCTCAAGATGAAACCCAAACCCCTTAGCTTGGCTCACAAGCCCGCTAACTAATCTCACTCACTTTTCTTCCCAACTTCACCCTTGTTTTCATCCACTCAGAGCAGTTCTTCTTTCTCTAAATGCCTATTTATACCCCAGTGCCTTTGTACATATTGTTCTTGCTCTCATCTTGCTGTGTCCATCTCTGTCTCTCTCTCTGTCTCTTGCCTCCACCTTGTCCCCACCCAAATCCTTTGCTTGTTTATTTTCCTCTTTTCCTTTGTGACCAGCTTAACCATTGCCTGCTCCAAAAGCCTCCCTTAACTCCCCAGTGTGGGTTACATGCCCTTTGGCCTCTGCTCCTACACTGAATGTAAAACTCATCATGTTTACTATATTAGAATGGTCTACCTCTAACTAGAAAATGAGGTCCTTAAGTGAAAGGAGCCATGTGTTTTTTCTATCAATACTCAGATAGCAAATCCATCAGAGTATTTGTTAATTGCAACAGATGAATGGATTTAAACACATCCACAGTAATGCACAAAGGGATGATAGGCGATCCCTTCCGGAGAGCAGGTTTGAGAGGTAGAGAGCTGGGAAAATGTGATGGTGACTGACAGAGGATGGACAGTATGGGGGTGGGGGGAGTGTTGGTATGTAGAGCATAGGGGGTGCTGTGAGCACAGATAAAGCCATACTGTAGGTACCACACAACTGGAGAGGGTGGGGCACTGGCAATACAGCAATGCCTGTTCCAACAGAGAAAGCACGCAGCTTGGAGAGGAGAGACAACTGACTTGCTGACCTGTGTGAGGCCACCTATGAGATACTCTGAGGCTGCAGGACTGGCCTTGATTTCATCTGACAGGCAATAAATTGTAAGTGTTTAGAGGGCATGGACATGCTGTCCTCCCCTCTGCATCTCCCAGTAAAGCTGGAGGCAGATGTGTGCACATACGGGGGCGTTCCTTCGATCTTGAACCTGTTTAATGAGGCAGTGGTGGTTTGAGGAAACAATATTGAAGTGGGAATCAGAGGACCATCAGAACTACTTCTGCCTTTTACGCATTCCTGCTAGTGATCATGGGCAACATGCTTCAACTTTGTCCCTCACTTCCCTTTTCCTTAAAATTAAGGTGTCAATATCCAGTTCGCACGATGCTTGTGAAGAATAGAGTGAGCTGGGTCTCCCCGGTGGCGCAGCGGTTGAGCGCTGGGCTGTAAAGCTGCCCGCAGCCTCTGCAGCACCGGTTCATTCCCCGGCCGGCTGGCGAGGGTCCCACATGGCGTGCAAACCTCTCCTGCCACACCCGCTGCTCCCCTCAGCACTGTGTTTCATCAGTCTGCCTGTTCTGCTCCCCACTTTGGCTCTGGTGAATTCTCTAACCCTCCCGCGCTTCTGACTATACCCAGTGCTTGTATAAATAAATAAATAAATCTTAAAAAATTAAAAAAAAAAAGAATAGAGTGAGCTGAGGAAGTGAAATAAAGTATTTGGCATATTCACCCAAGACTGTTAGACTGTTGCTCAGTGATTGGGGTCCACAGTTACATGTGGAGTGGAGTGGTGCTTACACAAAGGGAGCAGTTGTTGCTAGAACACAGAATGTATCCAAGGGGTGGGGTCAAACAACCAGATCGACAATGGCAGCTACGGGAATGTACATTTGCAAATGACAGAATCCCAAAGTCACTTGAGGAGAAAAGGGAATCATTGACTCATAACTGGGAAGTCCAAGGTTGACCTGGGACGTTTGGATCAATGCTCAGCTGTTGCCATCAGGAATATCTGTCCATCTTTCGACTTTGCTTTCCTTTGTTGATTTCATTCTTACCTAGTAAGGCAGGTCTTTCCTTATGGCAGGGATAATGACTGCTTGCAGTTCCCTTTCTTCTTCTAGATTTGTGAGCTAAAAAACAGGGCCATTTTTCTCTAGATCAAAATCAAACACCTCAAGGAAGGATTGGAATTGGGTAAGCTTGATCATAACGTTCAACCAAGAGCAACCAGTGTGGTTAGAGGAATGGACTTTTCTGTTTGCAGGGCCGACCTTTGTGACCAGTGAAATAAGGCACTATGATTATCAGCTACCTCATGAAGATACTATGATTTGACAGGAGAGGAAGAGCTCCCCAAAGAACACAGGGTACCAAACTGAAAAACCAAGATATACAATACAAACACTTATAATCGAATTTTCTGAGCACAAGAGTCCAGATTCAGACCTCTATTCAGATGTTCTCCAGGGATTTGGCACTGATTGGAAGTGAGTCTGTCCTGGGATCTTGCTTGCTGAAGAATATTTGTGCTGTTAGAATCATTGTCAAGTAGTCATGTCTAATGAAGACAGAAATAAGCGGGGTTGAAATTGGAAAATACAAAGGTAAAAACCACATTTGGCATAAAATGGGGTATTCTTGATAGGCGTGTAATCTGTAGTGCATGTAATCTAATTGAGAAGTTCTTTGAGAATAGTAAGGCAACTTGCTTATTTTGTTATAAAAATTAGAGAAATAGAGTCATTGCTCAAAGATGTGGGAAATGATGTACAAAAGCAAAGTTTCATGTAATGAGTAAGGTATCAAAGATGAAAAGCCCAGGTCCAGGAGATGAATTTGGGCTATAACTGGAAATTTTATAGTCAAGGAAAGATGGGGATCAGGACATTTGCCTAAGAATGCATTATTTTGTGAGCCTATTTTTGAGAGAATCCACTTTTAAAACAATGGATGGCATCATAGCTCTGAAACTGTGACACATCCATGACCAAATCCAGAATTATGAAGGGTCATGCACAAAGCAGTGTTGGCTTCATTGAGTTATATAATGCATATGAAGTATTTAGCATAATGGTCACCATGCTAAGTACATTATTTTGTCATAGTTTCTATTATTGTTATTATTGTTATGTGCATGGCATTATGCCAGGTATTTTATATATGTTATAGGACAACAATTTTATGTAGGTATTGCCACTCTATTTTAAGTAATTTGCTAAGATTACAGAAATGTTCATTTGCAGAGTTGGAATTTAAATCTATACCAACGTTTGTGTTCTAAACACAGTCCTGCAATAGAATGCTGGTGATAGCTCATGAAACTAAGAGCTATCATAAATTGAGACTAAGCAATTTATGGTATATTTTTGATGCTCTGAATAAGTTGTAGAACTTGGTAATCAGCATGTTTATTCCTTATTCAATGAGAAACTTGATGTCTAAAAGGTTAAATAGATATTTCTGGAGATTTTCATAGAATTAATGCTACGTCTAGATCTGTCCAGAATAATGTGTTCTATTCATTCAAGCAAGGACACCACAGTACATCACATTGTTGCTGAAGTAGATTGATAATCCCACGCTGTTCTAGTCCATAATGAAATATAATGTTCATGAAACACTGGGTGACTTCAGGGATATTATGCAGAAGTGAACTGATAGTAATGACTGTATTTTCTCCTCATTTTCTTTCCAAATTCTTAAAACATAAAATGCCATAAAATACCATGAGTTTCACATAGCAGTAGGCTCTCACTGAATGAATGGAGCATGGTTGGATGGATGGATGGATGGATGGATGGATAGATGGAACTAGGAAGAAGACAGGGGAAATGACGGCAGTCAAAAACATTTGGGAAACAGGGGTTTCAATGTTCAAAGTGTATTATTTATTATAGGTCTTCTCAGGGTTTTTAATAAGGTCAAACATGCTATGAATCTTTAGGCAAATCATCTAGTATGAGCTGATTCCCAAATGGATTTGACCAGAGATTGTTGTTTTTTTGATGATTGCACAATAACATCTTTTAGAAAACAAATATATTTTCGTAAAGGAAAGTTAAAGGAATGTTAGCCTTGGCTAGTAGAGCAATATGTATAAAAAGTATCAGTTGGTGCCTATACTGGAGAACTAAGCACTGTCAGAAATTTCTAACAGCTAACCTAAAAGTTCTTCTGTCAACTCCGAGAGAACTTGGTAAGAGGTTATCCCCACCAGAGAGCATATCTGACAAAGATTTCAAGCTCAGGAGCTGATGTGTCTGAGCTGTATACTCTCTCCATGTCTTGCTCTGCTCCTTCAGTGCTTTTTAAGGTTGGTTTTCCTTGGATCCAGAGCACATTACAATTCTATCACTGGCAAAGAAGCTCTTCTCTACATCCAATTTTTTAGCATTAACCCTGACTGCTTGCCTAGTTCTTGTCAGATCCCTCTCCCTGGGGACTATAGATAATTAAATGATAAAGTATGATGAGTAAATAAAATCACATATGTTTTAAGAGGTAAATTCAATTACATATGTAACGTACTCAACAGTGTCATGTGGCAGACACCCAGCAAATGTTAGTTCCCAAATGGATATTGAAAATCTCTTTAACAAAACCTACATTCCTTCCATGCTTTTACTTTTCATGTTGCACATTTAGATATTATTTGGATTTTTTTCTATATCACAAACATCAATGACCCTTATTTTTTAAATTAAAATAACTAAATAAGCCAGCCCCAAAAAGACAAATGCTGTATGATTCCACTTACATAAAATACGTAGACTACCCAAATTCATACTGATTGAAAATAGCATGGTGGTTGCCAGAGGATGGGGGAAGGAAGGAATAAGAAGCTGTTATTTAATGGGTGAGGGATTTCAGTTTGGGAAGATGAACATTTTCTGGAGATAGGTGGTATTAATGGTTGCTCAACAATGTGAAAAAAACTCAACACCACTGAACTGTATACTTAAGAATGGTTAAGATGATAAACCTTGTGTTAGGTTTTTTAATTAAAAATTTAAAAATTAAGATAACTAAATGAAAACTTTTCTCTCCCTGCTGTCCTCCCTAAAGAGTCTCTTCCTCCCCTTGGTTTCCCATTAATCCTATCTTCCTGGGGTGCCACCAGAATGGCAAATTTGAGCATAATACTTCCTCCCCGTCTCCTAACAATGCCATGTTTTGTCTGTGTTGTCAAGCTATACCCAGTGCCCTTATTTTTCCAAACATGTGGGATTTCATGACTTCTTGTGTCTACCTAAAATGCCTTCTCGGTGTCCCTTACCTGCCTGACAACACCTCATCCTTCAAGATTTGACTTCGAGTATACTCTCTGGAGGCTTCTTTGACGCCTGCCCCTCAAGCCAAGGAGAACACTGCCTCTTTTGTAGCAGCACTCTACCAAATGCAGCGCTGTCACTGCAGGCAGCACACGGCATTGCCATGGTTTGTTTATATGTCTGTGGACCTCACTAGGCCAGGGGACTCTAGAGGTCATTCATGTTTGGTATCCCCAGAATTTAGAGCACAGTATCCAGTACTTAGGAATTGATTAATGCTTTATTGAAAGAGTGAATAAATGTAGAGAAATGCCAGCACAGATTGGAGAATTTTTATCTCAGTTCTTACTACTAATATCAATTTTAAAATTCCTAAAAAAAAAAAAAAAAAACAGAAACAAAAAAAAAAAAAAAAGACTTGTCGGTGCTGCAGACAGACCAATACTTGATGATGGGAAAGAAAAGGGGTGGCCAGCCTCAAATGCCTCTCTGCCTTTCTTCTTTCCCGACCCTGAAGAAACCACACAGGTTTTGAAGTCAGGGGTGTTTCCTTTTATATTGACCAGTGGATAAAGGATTCAGAGCTGGGGTAGGGAGCAGCACCAAAGGGGAGTCACTGCAGGAAAGGGAAATTTATTCTGGTCTTCCCATGTTTTTCACAGTAAAGCCTTTATATGTGCTGTACATACTACTTTATTTCAATCACATTAGGGGTTAAGTGGCTTTGGGTGGACTGGTTTGGGAAAATGCCCATAATTTATACCATTGTTTATATGGAAAAATTGTTTCTGAGTTCAAAACAACAAACCTTTGGAACTTGGGGACTTCCTGAATTTTTTTGAAAGTACAGTGAGTGTATCATTGGGAATCTAGATCTACAAAATGAAGAATTTTAAGCAGGAGAAAAATGATCATGGCTATATTTAGATGTAACATTATAGGTATTGTCATTCCATTATACCAATTCTATTCTTTAGTTCTCGAATTACCCTTTAATGTAACTAGTATTTTATTCTGTAACAAGGTAATTGAAATAAAGTTGAATAATGCTTGTTTCCATTTT